CTAACATCCCCAGCAACATCACAGGCAGCAGGGAAGCATGGTTCACCCTACTCAGGAAGCTGGCACTGTGGGTGATATGGAAACGCAGATGCACTCAGACAATCGAGGGAACAGAGGTGGCAAGAGAGGTCACTACTGCTGAGCATGGCAGAGACGGAAATCAGGAGCAGATGGCGGAGAATAGCAAACTCTACGAGACACGGACCAGAAAGACAAGCAACCAAGAAACGGACTTTCATAAGGAACTGGTTGCTAAAAGGCAAGGTGGCAACGCTAGTAGACAATAGACTGAGATGGAAGAAATGGCACCAGGCAGAAGCATGAAGACCATGAGGATACATGCCGGGAGACCTGGCAGAAGGTTCCGAATGGTGATCAACAAAAAGGGGACCGAACACACAGGGAAAGACAAGGACAAGCAACAGAACACAGAGCGGAACCCCCCACTGTTCTCGTATTACAGGGACTCATTCGACAGGCTCTAAATAGAAGTCTGAGAGGAACAAATGGTCAGGGCGAGCTGACAGTCAATCCTCCTTGGAAGGAGCAATCAATGCTGATCAGAGGTCCTTCGGCCAGACGGAAGGAAGCGTTGAGTGGGTATTATGTTGTAACCCGTTTTTTACTTGCCGGGGGAATAGGAACCGGACTGACGCTCCCCAGAATGGATATGGAGCCAGGACCATAAGGACCTGTTAAAAAAAAAAAAAAGAAAAAAAAAAGGAATCACTAAATCATTGCTTCATAGATTGCCCAAAAGCCAGATCTATCTGGTAAGCAATTGAGGTTTCATGGAACGAAATCACAAACCTACCCCTCTTAATTACTCCCGCCACATTATTCATCCAACTCTAACAATCCCCTCCACTCAAGGGGTTCGAAGCCTTCCTCGCTCCACTCATTAAGAAAAGCACCCTCTGGACCACATGGAGAAACAGATCTGACAATATTTTTGATGACTGCCCCACTTCCCCAGAAAACCCAATCATAACCATAAAACAAGTAATAGACACGGAAATTCACGCCCTTTAGAAAAAAACAACTCAACCAACTCCCTACCGACCCCGAGAAAAAGCCGAAAAATCAAAAAGTTCACAACCGTCAAACTAGGAAAAGGGTAGCTAGTCACAACAAATAATGACAGACTCACCTTCACAAACTGGATAAGCATACTAACAACCCCCGGCCAGCCACCAGCACGTACATCACAGCCGTTATTGATATCGTACCAGCCTCATAACGCCCAACCATCGTCATGGCAGCAATCTCCCCACCCCCGCCCTTCCACACAATTCCTACAACGACCCCTCCTCCATACCCAAAAAACGGCCGAGTAATCACAAATCAAGCCACACACCCCCCTTCCCCTATCCCCTCCCATATATAACATCCATCCCATTATCAACACCTATCAAAAATTTCTTATCCCCATCAGCCCCTTTCCTATCCCACCAATCCTTAATAGAGTCTACCCCAGACTTCAAGTAGAACACTTATCAACAGGTGATACATTCAAGGAACAACCCCCGAGAGAAGAATAGTGTCAAAGAGTCAAAAACTAGGGTTTAGGGTTTTAGCCTTAGAAGACATCCTCAATGAAAACTGCACACAGGGAATCCGGATGTAGAGCAAACGAACACTCCTCATCTACTGTCTTAGAAAAGCATAGACATCCCACAGGCTAATTCGACAGGGAGATACAGACGGAAAAGAGACATAATTCTTCCTGCTCAGTCAAACAGCAAACAGTTATAGTCACCAAGGTCAATAACACTTTAGAACAGGCTAACTTAGGCAGGGGTGAAGATCGGTACATCCTTCTCCAAGGAAGTAATCAATGCCATCTTCAGGGCCTCCATGCCATAAATGGGAGGAGTGTGAGTGGGTAACCATTGTACTATTTTTGACTTGCCGGGGGAATAGGAACCGGACTGCTGCTCCCCTGAATGGAAAAGGAGCCAGAACCTTAAGGTTCTTTTTTTTTTGTTTTTTTGTTTTGTTTTGAGATGGCTGGAAATTTTGTATGAGGACAATGGAATAGTTCAAGTGAACAGGATCCTCTCCAACCCTTAGCCCATCTCGAGATCAATCCGCCAGTCTAGCCTCCTTCTCAAGGAAAGACCCATCCATACAGACTCAGTCCAAGGTCAGGACCCGCTACACGACTACGACCTCCTGACGGCCCTCATGTTCGCAGACGACCTAACAGTCTTGATAAGAGCAATGAATGCCTTTTTTCAAGCCGTAGCGAGGGGTATGGAAGCCCTCCGACTCGCATCCGAAATGCGGGTGATGGAGCAAGACAGGAGGCTGGTGGCTGGCAGATGAACCATCACCTCGGCCGGAGGACACACTGACCCAGCTGGAGTGGACGAGGGCGTGAAGGCGCTGCGATACCTAGGATCATGATGAACAAAGAGGGAACGTAGCCCAGCATGGGTCACAGCCTGATAACAAAAGCCATTACAAGGTTATCCCCGTGCAGAGAACCGACACAAATGGTCAATTGTAGGAACGACAGGCCCTCGATTTCAGTTACAGACGGTTTCAGGAGGAATGGCTTTTGAACGGTAAGATCACGGCGGTAGAAAGGAACAAGCTTCTATGGAAGATCTGGGATCCGATCTAACCCGGTGATAGGCGTGAAGCAACAGGAACCTCCACAGAAAGTCAACGGCGACAGTGGAGCTCTCCATGGAGGCAGGGTTAGGAAAGGAGCAATCATAAAGGTCAGTGAGCAATTTCTATCTAATCTAATAGTTATATTAAGAGAGTTTTGACAGTCCAGTTCAGTGGACTGGGAGGAGAGGCTCAGGGAAGTAGCTCACACTTCAAATTTAGACAAAATGACAATAGAAATAGCGAAGAACAGAGTACAAGGATGGAGCAAGAAGTACAAGAATCAAGTAAGGAGCTGGCAGTTAAACCTTCCATTGGCAAGCAATTAATGCTGTCAGGAAATTTCGGTAAACAGCAGCCACTAACATTGTGAAAAGAAGGGGCAGAGCAGTGGTAAATCCTCCCAATGAGGTAGTAATCAATGCCCGCTGTCTCAGGTTCTCTCGACCGTAATGGGGAGAAGCATGGAATGAGTACATCAGATTTAAGGGACGTTGGATCCCGTTTCCAGTTTTTTTTTTTTTTGGTAATAAAAAGAAAGTGTGCTACATGGCAATACATCTGATTAGTGGAGGAGGAGGAGGAGCAGCAGCAGCAAATGAGAAGAACAAGACAAATGTACTGCATGACATATTTCCTGCTGTGAAGCCACAACAGGCAGTCTAGTAGACAGTGAAAATCTCATGCTTTGGTAGCAGTTCTGCATAGCCAGACTGTCGAATTCTTAGTCTAATACATCAGCAAAGGTTCATCTTGCAGCGTCTCTAAGCTAGCCTTCTTCTTCTTCTCCTCTCTCTCTCTCTCTCACCCCTCTCCCTTCTCTCTCTCTAGCCTTTTCAACCCTGTTTATTACTGTTTGTCTGTCTGTCTGTCTGTCTGTCTGTCTGTCTGTTTGTCTGTTTGTCTGTCTCTCTCTCCCTCCTGTTTATTTCTCTCTCTGTGCTGAAGAAGTGGGCAGCTAGGTGAGTGCAGCCTTCCACACCGCCTTCGGTCAGAATCCTGGAAAGAGGATGGTTGGTGCCTTTTGTGGTCTGCAGGAAGTTGAATCCCCAGCAGGATAGGCAGATATTTCTAAACGTACAGTGCAAGCTAGGCACTTTCCAGCATCAGGTGCATGATGGCACACTCATAATCTCAGATCCTCTGGTGTTATGCGGTAGCAGTAGAGCACCAGGAAGAAGGGAGGAGGAAGAGAAAGATGACAGCTAAGGCTGCCAGACAACCAAAGACTAGAGGAGGAGGACGAGGAGGAGGAGGAGGAGGAAGAAGAACTACTCTAGCTCTGTGCATCTTGCTTTTATTGGGTTGTTGGAAGTGTAGTTCAAAGAGTGCTGGAATGGTGGCTGCATGAACTCCTAAAGCTCGGACTGGATGTTAGGGCCATAGCCTGTTAGGTTTCTGTATTTTCTCGTTGCTGTTATTTCAAAAGCAGTTGTGTGTGTTAATTTAAAGGCAGGTTTAAAGGTGCCCAATAATGTCTTAGGGCATACTTACTCCTAGGCTTGCTCCACTGAATGAGTCTATACATCCAGGGGATTGTGATCTGAGTATGCATTTACTATTACTGTCCACAATTTCTCACCATACAGTCCCCCTTCCCCTTCCCCCCCCCCCCACTTCTCCTCCCCAAATGAATCGCGGTCTAAGACTGGATATACTATATAGCCTATAACACACTTACACCTCTCTCTCTCGCTCCCACATAAGAAAGCAACGTTTGAAATGCAATTGTTGTTCTCCGCCACCTGATGTACTGTGTTTACTACCGCGGAGTCTGCTTTCAGGCCCGCATGTCTGCCTCTGTGGTAATTTGGTCAATCTGCCATCTCACTGAGGATCAATGAGTCTTCTTTTGCACAAACTTATGAAAGGTGTGTTTGGGTTTTCCTGTTGCTGCTGGTTGTGCGTACAGAGACAGCGCTTTTCGGAGATGTTCTTACCGCTAAACATATTCTGACGAGAGCACTGCTGTCAAGACGCTACTGCAATGGTCATGTCCTGTCATCACCGTTTCCATTTCCATGCTAATAACTGTGCGTGATTTGCTGAAGTTAGGGCCGTTGCAGTGTCGAGAGCTGTTAGCCAAGTGGCAGCATTGTGGGGCAGGGAGGGAGGAAGGGAGGGAGTGATTTGTTTATGCTTGAACTCACCTATGTTTATGTCTCTGAGACCTTGGATTGCCCTCTTGACCTGCCAGGGAACCCACTTGGGTAGCCTGACTGGGCCAGGTCTGAGCAAGGTGGTAGGCAGCCCCAGCTCAAAAAAGTAAAAAAGAAAAAAGGACGGAATAGAAGTTGTAATACAATTGCAATACAGATACTTTGGCTGAGGTGTATCCAAAGAAGTGTGAGTGGGCAACGAGTCGTCTGTTATCATGTCGTAGATGGAGATGGGGTATAGCCAGAAGACACTACGATTGGCCGGCGCCCAGAACCTCACAAAGTTGCGCTTATTCCTAGAACTGGCAAACTACCATAGGAAGTTCATTAGGAACTTCACCAAAATAGGTGCACCATTTTGCACACTGCTAAAGAAAGAGGCCATATGGCTATGGGACAAGGACTGACCTCATCGTTCAAGAAACTGAAGAAGGCAATGATAGAGTATTCAGTTTTGAAAATTGCACGTTCTTCATTGCCATTTGTGGTGGCCACAGATGCTAGCCGGTATCGGGTAGGGGTGGTGCTCCAGCAAGATGATTGAAAACTGGTAGAGTCTGTGTCCAAGAGAATACCATTAGAGAATGTAGTAGGCTCTACCCCTCCTAGCAAGATCCTGGGTGCTCCGATCTATTGGTGGGGAGCAGCACCTGCTGGAAAGCGGGTCCAGCGTCCCACTGTACATCAGAAGGCCTGCCAGCATTGATTGTCCTGTTTCCAGGGGATTGACTGTGCAGGGTTATGATAAATGTGTTGACAACAGCACACTTTGGGGCGTGGGGCCGCCTCTTCGGCCTGCACCAGACTGCCAGATCACTCTCGTTTCCCTAGCAGCTACGCCCTGCTTCTTCTGAATAACACGGCCTCCCATGACCAGCTATCAGCCCTCCCTATACCGCTTGTTCAATATGACCCAAGTGTCTTCCTCTTGTGGACCTGCCCCGTCCTTCCTTGGCCCCTTCTACCTGTGATCTTGCTCAATCTGCTACATACCATTGCATCTCCACCATTGCCAGCTGCTGGGGCGGGAAGGGGTCGGGAAATTCTGTAGGTGGTCGGAGCGGGATATCCTGACCCACCGTAGTCCAGTCTCTGAAGCAGATATGGTAGTCTCTCGTGAACTCTTCCAGGTTACACTCCTGGGTGGGCCTGCCGTCCCATCTGACGAAGGCGATCCGACCCCTGTTCTCACTGCCCAACCAGTCCCCAGAGAATTGATGAAGCACTTGTATTATGTCTTTTGACGAGTACAGCAACTCCAGTTTGTTTTCAACTTTATGCCACTGCACCATGAATTCTTGTTGTGTACATTGTTTTATCATGTCTGTTGCCTCCTCCCCACCTGTGCGGACCCCCTCAATGGCATGTAGACAAGGTTTCCTCCAGAGGGTCCACATGACCGCCTTCGTCCTTATCATAAACATGTTGTTTTCAAAAGTGCTGTCCATGGGGGAGGACCATGCCTAGCATAATATGGCCCTCCAATCCCATGGCCAGGTGGACCCAGTGTCCAGCAGGGTTCAGATCCTATCCCACCATCGCCATGTGAGGACAGCCCCCGGGCACTGCATGAATATGTGCTCTGTGGTTTCTGGAGTCCTACGGGGGGGGAAGGCAGTGTGGCACGATTTACACCATGGTAGCGCCCGCCCCTTCTGTTCTAGATATGTTTGATCTATCAGCCAGTCGTTTGTGGGCAGGCAGCGATGCTCTATCTGCCACTGTAGCGAGGCCATCTTTGCTGGCCTAGACCTTGTGGTGGTGAACATCAGATGGGGCGGATCGCGTCAATCCCTACGTTCAAATGAGACCTCCATCGGGTCTTTACCGTCTCTTTTATGTTCACCTTTGGTCGCAGCAGCTGGTACGCAGCCTTCACAGTTAAGGTACACAACTTTACATTCTCCTCCGACCTGATTTTTTGTGTAGGAGTCCACTGCCACTCCTCGGGGTCAAAGGGGCTCTGCCACAGGGGTATTTGGCTCGTATGCAATCCATATATCCTTATCCCGCAGCATGCGGATCCTGTGCAGGTCCGCACTCCTCCACCATCTCATCACCTCTGGGGTGTACCGATTGAGCACATTATCTTTGCTTATGTGGAAGAGGTTAATCAGCGTTTTGTCCGTGCGCGCCTCCACCACATTTCCTACACTTTCCGGGTCGCCCAGGGCAGCTACCCAGTCTCCTTCTGCCAACCACGGCCCTTTGCGCACGACGCGCACCCAGTCTAAGGGGATAGAAAAGATCAACACTTCAATGTTCTCTTCAACATTGTGACAGTGCTTTAGTATGGCCCTCACTTGCGGCACTGTTTTCCAGTCCCCCTTCCCCGAGTCCCATATGTTCTTTATTCTGATTATGCCTTTTTTGACCCAGCTGCTCCACGGGTTGTCTGAGCTGCAATACACCCTGCCGCACCGGTCTGTACTCCTCCTGTTCCCAAAAAGGGGCTGATGCATCACTTCCTCCCATCTAGTCGGTGGGGGTTTGTCAGGCAGTGGGAGTTGGCACCAGGCCCTCACGACCCGGGCCCAGAAGTCGTCCCTGGCCTAACAGTTACTTCAGCAATTGGAGGGCCTCCTTAGTGAGGGCCATTGCAGATTTGTACCAACGTGTGCCATCATCTGCTGTAAAGACACTTTGAAGTCTACTCAGATCGTGGGACCTAATGGTCGCTGAAGATGCAGGCTCGAATGTCTGCTAAACTCGCTAGGTGGGGTAGAGAGAGAGACAAATTTGACCTGGAGCCGAAATCAGTGAAAGGGAAGTACAATGTTATCACTGATGCACTATCTAGGAGAGCAGATTTCTTTGGAATGATTACCATCTACTGATATACAGGAGAGAACCTGCAGCAGAATATTAGAGAAGCTTACGATGTAGACCCTGTCTAGAACGAGATTATAGCGCAAGGTGGAATCCATATGAGTGGCCTGAGTTGCAATCAGACTTGTCTCCTTCGACATCCAGCACATGCACGAACAGATGACGATCACACTGGCGCCTTAGTGCCCACACAAAGCTCAGAGATAATGAGGCCAAAAAAAACACAGTTCAGATTCAAACTTGGCTCAATCGGTTATGGCCGATCACTGTACACTCGGCAACTTGTTCGCACACACGCAACTCTGGATCTCCCTGGATGTCGCGCACACACAGACACAACTGAACACACTCATACACACACACACACACACACACTAATCTTGCTGACATGGCGGCTATGGCCGCCGTCTCTCTCCTCTACTAACTAACTATCGGCTATGGCCGATCTTCCTCCTCTTAGCCCTCTTCGTTAACGGGCACCTGCAGACCTTCGTACACAAGACACCGACAGCGCTTCCGCACGGCTCACAGGCAGAATGAATGAATGTAATGATGCTGCCTCTTTATTTATACTTGGTCATGCAGCTGGTCTGGTCCTGTCGACCCAGGCCCAGATGTGCTCAGTCCCACTTGGTACTCGCTGACTAGGATAGGTAGACACGGGACTGGGGCCTGCTGACTGGACTTAGGTAGGACTGCCCACTTGACCACTTGCCTACAGACTGCTACCTAGGATTCACGAAGGGGCAGAGTAGACTGTTCTAGAATGACCTAGTCTAACCTACGTCACCCTTCGGTACTGTAGCAGCTACGACCTACTTTGACCTTTCGGTACTGTAGCAGCTACGACCAGGCCTACCCTACGACTCCTAAAACAGAGGTAAGCGGATCGAAACCACACAACCCACATATGTACAGCAGCCCCAAAAAGACAGCTTTAGGGGATAGGTCACGGGTTCAAGCTCACACTGGTCAGTCTGTACTGTACACGGGTACGATAGGGAACTAGGGATCGAGCCCTGGGAACTGCGACAGTCGCGTACTTGGGTGAATCCGTTTCAGAGTATAGGATAGCAAACAGATTACTTTTTCTCACAGCAAGTGATGAAGACAAACTGTGTCTCCCTGCCACTGAAGAAGTCAAGAGTCTGATTCTAGAGGAAGCATACGACTCAGAGACAGACTTTCATTGAAGGAAGACTTATGGTAGCTTACTGTGCTCCTACATATGGCCAGCTATGAAGTCAGATTGCATAACCTATGTACAGGAGTGTGAAGTATGCCAAAGGAACAGGAGTATGACCCAAGCTCCACTAGGACTACGAAGACCACTACCTATTCCCTCTGGAGTCCGTGAATCGGTATCGATACACTTTATGGATGCCAAAGTAAAAAGTCGGAATGGAAACAGTCAAGTCATGGTCATAGTAAACCAGTTTAGCAAATATGCAGAATGTGTTCCTTTGCCAGCAGAAGCCTGAACAGAATGAGTAATCTGAAAGTTGTTTGCACACAGGATCAAGGATAGTGAAAGGATTTCACGCAGTCAGTCCTAAGAATCCCGGTCCCAAGGTCCCAGTTGGTCCTGGTCCCAGGCTGGCCCGGTAGGGTAGGTCTTAGGGTCCGCAGGTTGAAGCATTGTAGGTCGGTAGATGTTGGGTACCGAAACGTCGCAGGTTGGTAAAAGTCTGTTGATACCTGCGGAGGAAGTCCAGTCCCAAGTCTAATTTTGCAGCAGCATCCCAAGAAAGTCCGGAGACTCCCGGAGACACAAATTTTGGTGAGGCAGAGGCTGCGGGCGACCGGTACCGGTCCGAAGCAGGCACAAACATTCAACTGCAACTATATTTAGCTGCTACAGTGCCAGACCAATGCAGTTGTTCGCTCGCAAAGTTGCGGAAGCACTGCTAGTTGCTTGTGCAATGGACGAAGGACGGGCGCCGGGGGAGGAAGCAAGCGCCCTGGCAGCAATAGTCAAGCATAGCTAGGATAGTAGGGAGGA